TTCCTTGATTAATTCAACAATTGTAATAATTGACTATCAAAAACATTAATTAATGATCTTCTAAATAACTAATCAAACAATAGTTGCAGCTCATTTCATGCATTTTACCTCAATCATATGTTTCCTATAGAGCGTTTTTAAAGCTCTGTGTGGTGCCTCTGGTTGTTGGCAGCACCTGACTGTGCTTAACTCAGCTATTCCAAAAATGGGCAGAAGTGGAGCGTATGTGGAGCTGAGGTGGACTATGGGCTATGAATAAAAGCAGTTCCAATACAGCATCCACCTGTCTCTCAAAGAAGCCACACCCCTAATTATGCATAACGTTAACCCTTAGTACAGTTTAAATGTTTGAGTTACATAAAACTTCCTCCCACATACAGTTGTCACAAATGGTGAATTTACTAAGAGAACCAAAAGCATTTATTGTACCAGGCTGTAACATGGTTTATTTCTACTGTAAAATTAGACAGTTTAACATGGGGGTCTGTGGGGATTGTCCTGCTTTTGGAGCCAGCCTGAAGTGGCCATTCAAGGAACTGCAATTTTTCGCAGTTTGAGATTGGCCTTCTTTTGTTAGCCCTTGAAGTTGCCACTTGGCTTATACACACCTGTGTGTTACCTTTGTTGTCCACCTTCAGGAAGAGCAGGAGTACGTAGAGTTGGTCGCTGCAGAGAAACACCAGCAGGAGGCCGTTAAAAGCGCTTTGGCACAGAACAAGTCTCTGTCCATGCTGGATGAGATCCTGGAGGACGTCAGGAAGGCAGCTGACCGACTAGAGGAGGAGATTGAGGAGCATGCCTTTGATAACAATAAACAGGTCAGCAAATGGCCGCCTTCGCAGACTTTGGGTACCTTGTATGTTTCAGGAGATCTCATGGAGATTGAATAATTATGTGAACAACATAAGGAAGCACTTTCAAATTGAATCTTCCTCTGTAATCATTTTGTAGATGAAAGGGGTGAATGTGGAGGCAGTGCTGCGAGTGGAGGAAGATGAGGAGAATGGAGGGAAGAGAAAGAACAAGTCCAGGCAGAAAGAAGTGGAAGACGACCTGGGACTGAGCATGCTCATTGACTCGCAGAACAACCAGTATGTTCTGACTAAACCACGAGACTCCACCATGCCAAGAGCCGACCACCACTTCATCAAGGTCTGTTCTTCCTCCCACTCAGCGTTGATCCTATTTTATCCAGGTTACGTAAGAAGCAACAACTGTATACATTTGTTCTGAATCCTAAAAATTCTAAGATTACGGTAGTTTCTGATGTTTGATACCAGTAAACCAACACTGAACGTTTTTTTACAACATGTACAGGACCTGGTGTCAGTGGTGATGTTGTCTCTGCCCTGTGGCTGGATTTGTACTCTAGTGGGTCTTCCTCCCATGTTTGGATACATCATCTGTGGGGTTCTGCTTGGTCCTTCTGGCCTCAACAGCATCAAGGTGTGAGACTGTAGTGTCAACATACCAGATCAGACTTTATGAACAGTATCAGTAATAATGTACTTGTTGTTCTAGTTGCTCATGTTTGTGTTTTGCAGTCGATGGTTCAGGTGGAGACTCTGGGGGAGCTGGGTGTGTTCTTCACTCTGTTTGTGGTAGGACTGGAGTTCTCACCTGAGCGCCTTCGAAAGGTAAATAAGAAATTACCTCAGACTTCACTAAGTCATGTTCAACTACACACCAAAATTAAGCTGTCACTCCTACAGTGATTTTAACCAAAGCGAAAACAAAAGCATTTCATTAAGCTTAGACTTAAAAGTTAGACTATAAGGTGGTGTAATGTATTTGTTGAAAAATACATTATACTGCATTATTTAATTTAACCTTTTTTCAGCATTTTTTTTTCACAAATGATTAAATACCCACCAACTGGTTGTTAAATTTATTGGCAATTAATTTTTTTTTAAAAAGTTAGTTGAATACTACAAGTACATTTCAGCTTCCACTAGTGGTTTAAGAATGTATTTGAGTTAAATTGGCATGAAGACACTCATTTCTGTTCCTGCTTTCATCATCTAGTCCTGATAGCTTTTCTGAAATTCCTTTTCCTGAAAGTTGGCCAACATCAGTATTGTTACCTGAAAAAGCAGCATTAATAAAAGTACTTTGATGTATCTGAATGTTTTGTTTAATGCTAATTTCTCTAGCTGCTATCAGTTTCTTACTTCGATGAGATATTTCAATAAGTGCACTGTTTATTGCTTACAGTGTGGGAACGTAAAGCCCCACAACATCATTTAATTTTATTCAACAGGCTTTAAGGTTTAAGGTTAGAATGTAACATTAGGTTTAGGATAAGGTTAGGGTTAATGTTGGGCAAGTAGCAGTTATGGTTGTATGGACAGAAATGAATATAAATCTGAGGAAACATGGCTGTGTGTGTGTGCAGGTCTGGAAAACCTCAGTTCAGGGCTCTTGCTACTTGAGTCTGCTGATGATTGGGGCTGGTTTGTTGTGGGGACAAGTCCTTCGTATTCGACCCACCCAGACTGTCTTCATCTCCACTTGTTTGTCCCTGTCCAGCACTCCACTAGTGTCCCGCTTCCTAGCAGGGGGAAGCAGAGGGGACAAGGAAGGTATGTGGGTGTGTCCACATAGTAACGTCCTGAACTTACATTTACATTGTAATGTTTAAAGCACCACTGTCTCCAGGCTCCAGCCCCCCCGCAACCCGAGTGAGGATTAAGCAGTTTTTTAGATGATGTATGAATGTTTAAAGCACATGGAACAAGTTGTGTGTCTTTCAGATCAACTGAACAGGTTACTTCTAAATGCTGCATTCATTACCTCAGGACTCCCAAAGCAGTACTACACACTGAGAAAACTGTTGGAAAAATTAAACATTGTGCCAAATGTATGGCCCGAGTGCAGAAAAGATAACCCTAACTCTGGTACCATGAAAACATAATTAAGGAATGTAAAGGGTCAGCACACCCAAAATCAAAAAGCACACTTCCTCACTTACCTCAGTATGTAGCCATGCAGAAAGCTTTATTTATATGTGCTGAGGTTTTATGATATTGTTACCACCTCACCAACACAGTCGAGGGGAGTGGATTTTGTTTTTGGTGCTCGCAGCGCTAAGAAATTACATTTATTTTATAGTTAACAACAACAAACCTTTCCAGTGTCTCCTTCTTCCGTGCCGTTAGTCTAGATAATCTACAGAGCACACTGTACAAACTGTATGTATTGTTTGTTTGGATGTAACTAGATCAGATCGTTGTACGTGGGTGGATATAACTTAGGCAAATAAAACTAAATCATGTCTGTAGCTTGTTACTTGAAGGATTTCTTTTTTAACCTTTGTTGTCTGGCTATTTACATAAAAGAGCAGGGGATAGTAATAAAAAATCTAATGCGGTAATGTGCTGCACAATAGCTATATCTGTTCGAAATCCTCTTTTCTGACTAATTACTGCTAGTGTTTGATTAAACCATGGGCAGTAACATGACTGTGTGTGTATCTGTGTGTGTTTGTGGCAGGTGACCTGGACTACAGCAGTGTTCTTCTTGGGATGTTAGTGATGCAAGACGTTCAGCTCGGCCTGTTCATCGCTGTGATGCCGACTCTGATCCAGGCACAGAGTGGGGACCTGGACAGGTCAGTTAGTTGGTCGTGTAAAGATTTTCTTGCTTTCAAAAGAAACACATGCATACTTTCAGCTTTGTAAACCTGTTGTTCCCTTTTTACACTCCAGCTTTCTGTTTGGAAGTCTCCGCGTCCTGTATCTCCTGGCCCAGGTCCTGGCGTCTCTGGCTGCTGTGCTGCTGCTGTGTTTGTTACTCAGATCGTTCCTGATAGGCCCCTATTACAAGAAGCTGCATGCTGAGAGCAAAGGCAACAAGGAGATCCTGGTGCTGGGGATGGCAGCTTTTGTCTTTTTCATGCTGACGGTATACTCTTTGCTTTTAATCATTTATACGTAGATGAAAAGCTCACTTTCTATATTTATTTATTTATGATTATTCTCTACAGCAGTAATCTTTTACTTGTTTTGTAGAAGCTACAAGTGTTGATTGTTCTCTTGCTGGCTCACTGTTAGGTAACAGAGTTTCTGGATGTTTCTATGGAGCTGGGTTGTTTCCTGGCTGGAGCTCTGCTGTCCTCACAGGGTCACATGGTCACAGCGGAGGTCATGGGATGCATCGAGCCAATCAGAGACTTCCTCGCCATCATTTTCTTTGCATCTATCGGTCAGATCCGGCATGGCAACTTCTGACAGATCTCAGCTTAGTGATTGTGTTACACCTTTACAGCATTTACAGTGAGACTTTACTAAATCATTTTGTGTGTCTGTGCGATGCTGCAGGTCTCCACGTGTTCCCGACATTTGTGCTGTACGAACTCACCATCCTGCTGGTGTTAACGCTCACACTCGTTATTATGAAGGTGCAAAGTTTTTCTCCTTTCCTTTTCCTTCTCCAGTTCCAATTTGTTCTCCACTTGACGACTCAATTCCTTTCAGTTCATGATGGCCGTACTGGTGCTGTCGGCGATTTTGCCTCCAGGCTCTCGACACATCCGGTGGATCGTCTCGGCCGGTCTGGCTCAGGTCAGCGAGTTCTCCTTCGTCCTGGGCAGCCGAGCGCGTCGAGCTGGCATTATCTCCAGAGAGGTCAGTGATGACAGTTATTTTGCAGACACAGAAGAGCTCAGATTGTTTTGTCACATTTTCTGATGCTCACCACTAAAATTTGTTTTGTCTTTTATATGTTCAGGGCCAAAAAAAAAATGTTCTTTTTCATTTGCATTTGATGTTGTTTACTTTTAATTGTTGTCTATGTCTAAAATGTTGTCTGTTGACACCTGATACAAGCTCTAGGAACACAATATGACATTTAATATACAACACAGAAAATCAGTAATCAGCTTAACAACTGTAACAATTTGTGTAGCAAATTGTGACAAGTACACTTCGAGTTAAATAGCAACTGAGTTGCTTCTAAAATAAAGGTTATTGTCACTGGTATAATCAGAGTTTTACTACTATAATTATCATAGCAACTCTAGTGAAATCATTTTCTGCATTTTGGGAATTTTAAGAAAGCGATGACTGTCAAATAGGCATTAGAGAAATCTAGAATTAGCTGTTTATGCCTTTATATATAATCAAACAGACTAAAATGAGTAATAAAGGCTACAGAGAGACTCCACTACAGCAGGGTAACATGGTATCTTTTTTAGTTTTGTAAGAATAAGGTTAAATAAGCTCTAACCTCTTAATAGGCAGCTGTGGAAAACCAGTAATGATACAAAAGCACAAATTAACCTTTTGGCTTGTGTTGAGTAAAATTGTGTCCACAAGAGAACCCTTTGAAAGGGTTGGTTCTCTCAAATTATTATTCACCTCTTGATGTGTTTAGTCATTCAGATAGTTTAGATTTATATGTCTTGGTTTTGAAATACCTCTGCGATTCCTGTCTACAGCCCTTCAAACTTTGTGCTCCCAAAAACAATGTTGCAGTCCAATTTCCTAAATGTTGTTTTTCATTGGGGCTGCACGGTCGCTTGGTGGATAGCACTGTTGCCTTGCAGCTCGAATGTCGCTGGTTCACGTCCCGGTGGGGACACCTGGGATCTTTCTGTGTGGAGTTTGCATGTTCTCCCCGTGCAGCGTGGGTTCTCTCCGGATTCTCCGGCTTCTTCCCACAAAGTCCAAAAACATGTTGAGGTTAATTGGTGATTCTAAATTGTCCGTAGGTATGAATGTGAGTGTGCTTGGTTGTCTGTCTCCAAGTGTAGCCCTGTGATAGACTGGTGACCAGTCTAGGGTGTCCCCTGCCTTCGCCCTAAGTCAGCTGGGATAGACTCCAGCCCCCTCCTCCCGCGACCCAAGTGAGGCTTAAACAGTGTA